TAGTGAAAATGTGCAAACATCTTGAATTCATCAAAGTTATTTTTCTATTGACTAGCGTTCTTTTAAAAAACATGTTTGATTTAACTGGTACTGTTCTACCCTCTAGTGGCTACAGAAGGGTGTTACGTCAAAATTGCTCTCAAAAGTCTTAGAACAAAGTTAGAGTCCAGTGGCACCTTTAAGACCAACAAAGTTTATTCAAGGTATGAGCTTTCCTGTGCAAGGCACACTTTTTCAAATACATCGGACTGGCAGGGATTTAACAGCAAATTAACATATAACATGATGATGTTTAAGCTATGCAAAGTGAAAAACTAAATAACAGGTTAAGGTTATAAGGACAACAGTTGTAAAGCAATAAATATGTCAAATGAATGTCTAAAGGTGCCTTTTCTCATTGTGGGAAGTAACAGAGTCTTAATTCTCTCCCCTCAAGTGCAGAGGGCGCGTGAAGGGCACAACAGTATACTTTGAGCCGAATACAATATTGTCGGCAGACATCTATTCAGTATTCTAATATACTATTCTGAAAAAGAAATACAGTAAAATACAGAGGATTTATAGTCCTTCTTGTTGAGACTACATATGTGAGGTCTGAATGAGTTAACATATGTAATGGGATAAAAATCCAATATCCCTGTTGAGTCCTGGGGAGGTTTTTGTTCCAAGTGTTGTAATAACTTGTAATTCAGCATTTTCCCTTTCCATTCTGTTCCTAAAGTTCCTTTGTAATAAATTTGTAATACTTTGAGTTCATCCATTGTATATCCTGGAAGGTTAAAGTGTTCTCCTACAGGTTTCTCAATCTTGTGATTCCTGATGTCAGATTTGTGTCCATTTATCCTCTGGCACAGGGTTTGTCCTGTTTGTCCTATGTAGAGAACCGAAGGGCATTGTTGAAATTTAATGGCAAATGTTGCCCTGCAAGGCACTTAATGTGCTCTTACGGACTATATCACATAAGTGATAAAAATGGACTGTGCAAAGGTATGCTTAAGGGACTGTACTGCATGGTGACCCAATATGATGCCAGTTGAGACTGCACACCTGAGAGAAGAAACCCTTCCTTTTCCGTTGCTGTTCCAGTGGTTCTTCAAGGTTACCTGCCCTCTTACCTGTTGTGAGATGGACCAGTTCCCTGGTCTGCATAACGCCATGCCATGCGAAGGCACAAGGACAAAGAGCTCTAAACACCATAAGGAGCTCCCTCTGACACACACAGGCAACCCCCTCCTCCATCTACCTGCAAATCTGCACGTAACCAAGAGGGTTGCTTGGTTACACAGGGTTGCTTGGCAACTAATCGCTCGCCCACCAACAACCCAGCTAGGACCATCAAGAGACAATAGCCCTAGCTCAATGACTCATTTCCTCTTCATCCAGGTGCCAGTCCCCAGTCTAAGTTACTAGTTCTCAATATTGACCACTCCCTAGCTCCCCTCCCCTTTTCCTTCTACCCCAATAGTATGTTTTCAGGGACGGACTAACAGGAGGTGTGACAAGGGGATGTGGCCAGTTCAGCCTGCCCCCCCACTCTACCTTATAAAAGTTGATACCCGACCACATGCTATATCTCTCTACGACCCCTATCTAAGCATTATCCCTCGTATGTCCAGCTTGCTATCCCAATACCCTCCCTCCATCTTTGACTCTAGGTCTGCAGCCAGAGTCCCACGTGCTTCTGCCGATTCAGGACACATTCCTTATAGCCAACTCTCCTCTCCCTTCTTCCATTGGAACGGTTCACTCAGCAAGGACAGGTAACTATTGCCTAAACAACGAATACCCTGCTAATGCAAATGTGCTTATTATCTATCTTTATTTCCTAGAATCTGTATAAGAGTGTGTGCGTTTGTGTATTGTTTGAATGATGTCTCCTTCAGTAAAATACATCATTTTATACTGAATCCAGTCTCCGTGTCCATTATTGGTAACTACTGGAAAAGGTGGGACCTCTGTATACATCGGTGTTTGCTCCCAAATTTGCCTATTGCCAATTAATAATCATAACTTTCCTCATATCGATAAGAAATTAAGGCAATTTGGCTAACTAAGATACAATGCTAGAAGATGAGCAAGTGAATGAGACCCTGATGTTGATGTTGTTAGGTCCACTGATTGTGTTATCTGGGTGTATGCGGCAGCAAAGTTGGCATCTGGGTTTATTGCTAGGTCTGGTCAAAGTGTCCATGTTCAAATGAGATGTTGCAGTATTGTGGGTGAGGAGTTGTTTGAGAGAAGGGGGTTGTCTGTGCGCAAGAAAAGGTTTGCCCCCCTGTACTTGTGAAAGAGAACTGTCATTATCCACTAGAGGTTGTAAGTCATTGATGATGCATTGTACTATTTTGAGCTGAGAGCTGTATGTGACCACTAGTGGTATTCTGTTATTGTCTATTTTGGGCCTGTCTTCTAACAGGTTTTCTCTGGGTATAATTCTGGCTTTGTTAATCTGCTTCCTGACTTCATCAGGTGGATACTTTAGTTCCAAAAAGGTGTGTTGTTGATCCCTCAGGTGAGAATCTCAGTCTGTAGGATTGGAGCAGATGCATCTGTAGCATAGAGCCTGGCTATATACAACGGATCGTTTGGTATGTTTAGGATGGTAGCTGGAGGCATGTAGGTATGTATGTTGGTCAGTAGGTTTCCGGTATAAGGTGGTGTCTATGCATCCACTGTGTATTTTTATAGCAGTGTTCAGAAAACGTATTTCTTGCATGGATTGGTTCATTGTCAGGTTGATGGTGGGGTGAAAATCATTGAATGCCTGGTGGAATGTGTCCAGGGCTTCTTTACCATGTGTGCAGACAATAAAAATGTCATCAATGTAACGCAAATGTAAGAGTGGTATAAGTGGGTATGGAAAGGAAAATTTCTGAATTACAAGTTATTACAACACTTGGAACAAAAACCTCCCCAGGACTCAACAGGGATATTGGATTTTTATCCCATTACATATGCAAACTCATTTAGTCCTCACAAATGTATTCTCAACAAGGACTATAAATCCTCTGTATTTTACTGTATTTCTTTTTCAGAATAGTATATTAGAATACTGAATGGATGTCTCCTGACAACTTTACATCCAGCTAAAAATATACTACTAAGTGCCCTCCATGCGCCCTCTACACCTGCGGAGAGAGAATTAAGATTCTGTTACTTCCCACAATTAGAAAAAATACCTTTAGACATTAATCTGCTATTTTGACATATTTATTGCTTTACAGCTGTTGACCTTATAACCTTAACCTGTTATTTAGTTTTTCACTTTGCATAACTTAAACATCACAATGTTACATGTCAAGTTGCTGTTAAATCCCTTATAAGTTTAGAACCTCATCTACCATTCCAGTGTATTTGAAAAAGTGTGCCTTGCACATGAAAGCTCATACCTTGAATAAACCTTTGTTGGTCTTAAAGGTGCCACTGGACTCTAAGTTAGTTCTACTGCTTCAGACCAACACAGCTGGATCCCAAAAGTCTTGTTTCAGTTTTGCTGTTCATGTGATTTTGAAATATTAATCACACTCCCATGCTGCTCATCATTGCTATGAAAATATTATCTGATTTTTAACTGTAAACAGACATTTATGAGTAGAAAAAGGTTTACTTTACATCTATATAAATACCATTTAAGGCAAAACTAGATGTTATGGCAATTTAAGAGCTGAACTAAGCCATTTAAAATTTTTGCAAGGGCCCTGGGAGGGTGTTTTGGCACTTGAAAAGGCACATGGAAGAGAGGCTCTAGCAGGATCAGTACCTTGCAATATTTTTTAAACAGCAGAGTTCCACTCTAAAATGGCATTGGCTTCCACAGGTAGGATGTAATGTCTAGCTTGGCCCTTATATCACACTGAACAGTGACTGATAGACATTCACTGACATTTATAGGGATACCTTTAGATATCCTTAAGAAATTAAACTGGATCGGTTCTCAACACCTACAGTGGGGAAGTTACAGAAGGTGTTCTGCCATACGGGTTCTGAAACCAGGCACCATACATTGCTCTCATTTTTTATTAATAAATGGGGCCATTCATCAAAGCAATAAAAAGTCTTTGCTTGCTAACAGCAGCAAAGTTCAAGTGAATTACAGCTACATTTGTTTTGGCTGCCAAGAAAAATTATTCATACAATGACAAAGGTTTATTATAAATTGGATGAAGTTTCAACATCTCAAGTGGTACCTTTACATTTATGCTGAAGGGTTTTAAAAATTGTTTTAAAACTGATATTGATGTTGAGAAGTTTATTGTCATGGTCTATAGCTAAAACAAACTGAACAACCTTATCTCCTCTCAACTCAGATTGCCTTTGCCAAAAATGCTTCTTTCCCCCTCCCCAGTTGCTAGGACCCAACCCCACTTTTCCTGTCCTAACGTCTTGCAAAATGTTCCTAGTTCTTACCATTTAAAGGTTTCTACCATTCAGATCCTGATTATCTCTTCCTTTTTTGGGATTCTTTCATCTGTATGAATTTAGTCTAAGCTCTCTGGGACTCCTGCTTGATGTCCCTCCATTTATGTGAAACAGCCCCCCTCTTTGCAAAACTATGTCCCATAAATCCCTTTAAAGAGTCAAAACCTGTCACCTGCAGGCTACCACACAGTTCCACACCACCCACTGTCAAGGCACTCACCTAAACTTTCCCTTACTGACCTTTATATCATGCTTTCCTCTGCTCCATTTGTGTCTTGTGCATTCTGCCTACCACACTGACACTGCAAAGGATCACTCAACCAGAAAGACTGAGTAATCCTGTTTTTAGCCACATACATTCATCCTCATGCACTGGCTGCAATAAAGAAGAAATCTTGCTTGTGAAAGAGAAAGGAAGAGAGTATTAGAAGCTCTGGGTCAAGGGTACTCATTCCTCAAGTAGCCTTCACATTTCTCATTCCACATCACTGGGAAATCAGACTGGCATCCATGCAGGATATAAAGATAAAAACACTACACACAATATTATTGTAAAAAACTCAGCAAGGCTAGAACTGTACCTTTCCGACGTACAATGAATTCGTACTTGGCTGGGACCAATGTGTCCAAGCTAACGTTAATGGCATTCAGGCCAGCCTCCTTCAACCGGGGTAACAGTCGGGCCAAATTGATCCCATTGCTTGTGACAGCGATGGTTTGTAACCCTTCTAGCTTTCGCAGTTGAGCTGGAAAACACAAGAGTAACAAGAAAAGGAGTGCTGTGACAAATCACTTCTCCATACCCACCTGCTAGTAAGACCCTCTGAGCATAGTGGGGCTTATTTTCTTACTAAACATATCCAGGGATGGTTGTTAATTCTACGGAGTTAGATGAATAAGAAAGAAACAGGTTCTGGATGACACAAAACAACAAATTCAGGGAGGCTGAAACACAATTGACACCTGTTTAATTAGTTGGGGGAATTAGCAAAGGAGACAGAGCAAGAGACAGGTAACTGGGATTCTACACCTATATATACAAGGATTTCTCCCTTAAGAGAACGCTCAAACAGACCAGGCAGATGTTCAACTGGAAAGTTTTTTATTAAAAAATATACAGAAATGGGCAAAACGCATACATACAGACACGCACACACTAAAACACATACAAGAGCTAACTAAGGAAAGACAGGAAGGAAATGGGAAAGCTTTTTAGGGAAGTGTGATATTTACCAATCTTTAAGAGGTCTGTGGAAGCTGCAGAGCTAGAGAAAAATGGCCAACGTTTTCTCCGTGAAGAAAAGAAACCCACAAAGTGGGAGTGTATGTGGTCACACAGCACACACAGCTGGGGCAGCAGGATGATAGGGCAAAATGTACCCTTAGGCGGGGATGACATGTTGATCAGAAAACAATGACGAAATGGCTTAAGAGGAGTTAGGAAGAGAGGAAAAAGGCGTGAGAGGGCTTGATGGCTCCACAAATACTGGACAGGAAGGGTGACTGGAAAAGGTGAAAAGATTTAAGCACTGATTAATGGCAGCCTAATCAAGGGTAATGGGTACGGGGAAGTGAAGCTGGGGTGTTGTTGGGATTATGCTGAGTGAATCAATAGGTTCAGGGCGACCCATTGTTCTAAAGTCATGCATCTCTCCAGGGCAAGGAGGTGGGGATTAGCCAGCCAGCTGCTCTTGAGTTTTAAAATTATTTTCCTAGGCTGATGCCTGGCTGGTATCCATCTTGGTCCATTTTGGCGCAAGCAGTGCCCTGCACATCAAATATTGGGGTGCTATTAAGAGGGGTGTTTCTCTCTACCCTAAAACTGCCCCTCTGCAGGAGGAGAGGTCTGACTGCTAAGAACTGTTGATATTTAGGAGGCATATGAAGACAGTTTTATTTAGACGACTGCACTTGACTCATTTAGCTTTTATTTATTGGCAATCTTAATTAGAGTTTTAAAAGTCTGACATTTTATGTGCTTCCTAATTGTTGTTTTTTATTCATATTGGTTTTATTTTGTTTATAATTATTTTATTTATACTGTAAGCGGCCTTGAGTTCTGCAAGGGAGAAGGGTGGCGAACAGATGTTTTAAATGAAATAAATAAAATGATGTAGGCTTACATACCTGCCTTCAGAACATATTTTATTTATGTTATTTATAATCCGCCTTTCTCACAGGGACTCAAGGCAGATTACAAATAGTGGGTCAGTACAATCAACAAAATTGGACATTCAATAACCAATAGGGCTGCCAAATCCCCCCGGGGGGCGGATTTCCCCCCGCTTTGGAGGTCCAATTTCCGCCCCTGTGGAATCGGCCCCTGGGGGAAACCCCACCCCTGCGTGCACGTCACAGGAAAGTGACGTCGTGACGCCGGGCACACTGGGAGCGGGGCACAGCCATTTGAGGGGAAAACTCTATGTTTTCCACTCAAATG